CGCCATGTTCCGCACAAGCCCCCTGATGATCAGTGCACATCATAGCAACTGGTTGTTCAGTTGCTCTGCTGTTCAGTCTATTTGCATATTAGGGTTTTATATAGAAAGAAAAGCCCAGTGCATGGGATTTGTGCACTGATGGGGGCGTGGCCTACGGGGATCGGCCCACTGTGGGATCACCACTCATCCCAGTCTGCCAAGGAGCTGTGGACCTGCCCTCTGAGCAGCTGCTCCCTGGTCCGGCATCTTCTGTGGAGCTGGAGCATTTGCCTCTCCAGGGGACCTGGTCAGGGCTGGGCCCAGGGACAATAGCACTGAGAGGCGGGGGAGTAGGCCTCAGTTTTGCGGCACCACGAACCCGCCTCCCAGCCTCCAAGGTCAGCTCTGTGAGCCGTGCGGCAGCAGTGCGGCCTGTGGGGAGACTGGAGGTGGCAGCAGGGAGCGAGGAGGAGCAGCCTGGGGTGAGGAGGCAATGAAAGCAACCCCCATCGGCCCAGGGTTCGCAGTGGGAGCAGCCGCTCATCCCGGTCAGCTGAGCGGCAACTCCCACTGTGGTAGCGCACTGACCACCAGGGAGCAGCTCCTATGTTGAGCATCTGCCCTCTGGTGGTCAGTGCACGTCATAGTAACTGGTTGAGCAGTCATTCTAGTCATTCCGCTGTTCAGTTGCTGGGCTTTTATTATATAGGATATAAAAAGCTAATATGCTAAGTGTCCTTCCCACTGTCTGACTGGTCACTATTACGTGCACTGACCACCAGGGGGCACATGCTTAATGCAGAAGCTGCCATGATGCACACAGAGAAACGGCACTGCAGACCTGGCACCGACAAAGCAACATTTGGCTTCCCCCAAGTGGGACACAGGCCCTGCCACCACCCCAGAGCAAAAGCCCACCAAATTGCAGCTGATGCTGCCATGTTGCAAAATGTGGCCCACAGTTCAGTCCAGCCCAGCCGCAAACAGTGGCTATGGGCGCCGGGTAATGATGTCACGTTTTTGTTGACATTTAGAAGCCAAAATTGTCAACAGAATATGTCTGAAGACCAACTATTGCCACAACATACCTCTGAAGCCAGAAGCCAGCATCCTCAACAAAATGTATCTGAAGACCAAATATTGGCGCAACGTACCTCTGAGACTGAAAGAAAGCAATGTCATCAACAGAATATGTCTAAAGAACAGTCATCGACAAGTACTACCAATACTGGTAGGAACTGCCTTCATAGTGAAAATGAGGTAAATGAGGATGCAGTTATAGAACACAGTTGTGGTGGAATGACTGTTACATGTCAATGTTGCCTATCCCTAAATTTCTCTGATGAAAAACCATCTGATGGAAAATTTATTCGATGTTGTAGCAAAGGCAAAGTTTGTCCAAATGATATAAATTTTCCAGAATACTTGGCATATTTAAAAATATTAATGATAGCCCTAACCGGTTTGGCTCAGTGGATAAAGAGTCGGCCTGCAGACTGAAGGATCCCAGGTTCGATTCCAGTCAAGGGCATGTACCTTGGTTGTGGGCACATCCCTAGTAGGGGTGTGCAGGAGGCAGCTGATCGATGTTTCTCTCTCATCGATGTTTCTAACTCTCTATCTCTCTCCCTTCCTCTCTGTAAAAAATCAATAAAATACATTAAAAAAATAAATATTAATGATAAACAAAGATTTTGACAGTAAAAATTTCATGGAAAATATTTGTTATATCATGTTGTTATTGCTTTTTATTAATCAATTTACATATTACTTTCATGTACATTTTACTAATTTCCTTTCATCTCTGACACTTCTATTATAGAGAAAGGGTGAATAGCAATATTAAAATATTTATTCTAATTAATTTCCTTTCAATGTGCACGAATTTGTTCACCTGACCACTAGTTATATAGGGGATGAGGTACTATTTGCATATAATCAATGCACATCCTCCTGTATACTTTATACTGTATAATCATCTCTAGATTACTTGTGATATCTAATATAATGTAAACATTGTGTAAATAGTTGTTATACTGTATTGTTAGGGAATAATCACACAAAAAAATAATCTGTATATGTTCAACAGAGCACAACCATTGTAGTCTTACCTACATACGGGATGGAGCAAAAGTAGGTTTACAGTTGTTCGTATGAAAAACAATAATTAATAAATGAGAATAAACTATTTCCTGTACTCGCAACTGTAAAACTTTTGCCCCACCCTATAGTACACATCAGCAACAATGTAACTTTTAAAAAATATATATATATTTGATGCTTGGTTGGTTGAACATGAGAATGTCATACCTGCAGATCTGGAGGGCTGGCTGTCCTCACCAGTGTGCTCTATTCTCAAACCTCCCCACTCTCAACTTGCTGCATAGTACTCTCAAACTTAACGGGATATCAGAATTAGGCCTAGAATAATGACATTTGTGATTGATTGCCCAATATTCTCAGGCCAAACATTTGGAGGCGCTCATAACTGTATTTACTACTATGTTTCTGTGTCCTAAAATTCTGGTTCTCTCTGTAGCCCCCTTCTCACTCTACAATATCCAGTCCAAGTTAACAAACTGGCAACCGATCGTCTGAATGTGGTTCCCAGACATGTTTTGTTTAGCCTGCTCAGTATTTTTTTTAAATCGCTGACAACACTTAAAAACCAAGTTTCACATAAAGATTCAGATTTCTGGCTGCTATTAAAAAATTGAGATCTGATGTCACTAGGCCTACATTTCTACTTGGAACTTGTACCCTAATTAAACAGAGAATGTGCTCTCCTGTTTGTGACACTGTTGTCCCAGATAGTTTTTCTCCCTTCTTACCTTCTAGTCCTCATAACCATTATAGGTTTATAACCATGGACTAACATCTCTTTGATTTGAATCTCTTATGTTGGCTTAATCTACCAACTATGTGATTTCAAAATCTGTTTCAACTTAGACATCCTTTAGACTCACAGAACCCATAGTCAAAACCAAACTATTTTTTGCAAAACCTATTTTTCTTCCACTACTCTCTAAATGATCCAGTTAGCACAATTACATTCCTACAGTTGTCCAGATTATAAAAATCCTCAGAGCTCTTCTCTCTTCCTTCCTCATCCTACTCAAAACTTTTCAGTCATGTGCCAAACTATGACATGTCTTTGCTTTCACTGTTTCCAATATTTTAAATACCTTTCTCTTTTTATCTCGAAAACCCCTACTTACTTTCCAAGATGGAGCAAACTTATTCAGCTTCTGAAACTATGTCTCTTGGTTCTAGGTGCATTCAGTTGCTCCTTTCCATGTACAAGCATCTCACGTATGTTATATGGTATTTACTTGCTGCTGGTTCTCCCACTAGACTAGGGATTCCTTAAGGATACCAACCATGATTGAGTTATCTTTGTATCAGAACCAAGACAAAAACTATGGGACTCAAAAAATGTGTCAAACATGAATTTTACAAATTAATTAACATGAAATTCTTTTATGTTACTTTTTCTTTTTTTGCTGGTACTTTTTTGGTGTTTGCTTAGGATTGATACTACAATCACTTCAAATTTTGCACCATGACTATAAAGTTAAAAGAAAACTTACTGACTCCACGATGAGGGTTTTTAAAGTAACTTAAGTTTAAAAAAAAAATCTAAGGGTGCCAACTATTAATTATGAAAAAAATATATAATTCTTCATAACACAGATCCCTGAGGAACAACTGCACAACTGTTAAAAGATCTGCACATCACTGTGCCAGCCTGCGTTTAATGACCTACATGTGAAGGGCTACATATCCAATTACTAATCCTCCCTCAGCTACTCTTTGCCCTGATATGGAGGCAGCTGAAAAAAGATGCCCTACTAACAAATCAAAAATGGATCCAATGCTCAATTACGAGAATTTTTAGATTTGAGGTGAGGAATAAACAGAGTGACCCACAACAGTGCTACAGCTGACATGTTTTTCAAGAAATATTTGAGAGTTTGAAGCAAGGGAAGTCATTTTTGTGGTTAAATTTGGATACATTTTAATTCTAAAAACTCAAATTTTGAATTTAATGTTTATTCACTGAAACCTTTAAGCATGTTCAGATCCGTTTTCAAATATCAAGAATAATGTACTTCCGCCCCGCCGGTGTGGCTCAGAGGTTGAGCATCACCCAGGAACCGGGAGGTCACGCTTTGACTCCAGGCCAGGGCACATGCCCAGGTTGTGGCGATTCTCTCTCATCATTGATGTTTCTAGCTCTCTTTTCCTCTCCCTTCCTCTCTGAATTCAATAAAAAAATATATTTTTAAAAAGGAAAGTGTACTTCAGAATTGTTTTCATACTGATAGCAGTCTTCTATTCCTTTCAAACTTTATTCGTATCTTCAAATTCTGCAATAATCACTTGTTACAAGGAGGAGCAAAAAAAAAAAAAAAAACTAAGCAGAAAACAACAATCTACTGGCTTATGTTTCAGCTCTCTCTCAGTTGACTTGGTCTATATATAGCAAAAAGATTACATAAGGTCAAGTATTATAAACAATGAAATGTCACCTGATGTTTTGCAAAACACCATAGGGAAAAGAACTCAAGGAATGAATGGAGAGTAAGATCTCCAACTGTAAGCAAGAAAAACGGCTTAAACATTCCAGCTTAAACGCACCTTATTGGAAATTTGACTTTTAAAATTTGATTTCCCATTTGAATTGTGTAAAATATAGGATACTGATAACCGTCTTCTGTATGAATTATAACAAATTTAGGCAAGAGATGCTTTCCTCTCATCTCCAACACAGAAGAATGAAGAGCCCATCGTAATAACTGAGTCACTGTTTCGTGTTTTTAATTTTCAAGAGCAGGATTGTCTCAAGCCTCCCTGCCCCATCATCCCCACAGGAACATATGAATGAATACATGCGCGTAGGGACACACGTGCTTTTGAATGGAAAAACCCACATCACTGTAACGACCTCCCACTCCAAAACCCGAACTCCTGACCCCGCCCCACGTGAACCCCCCTCTCCACCCCTCCCCGCCGGGTTTCCCCGACTGCGCGTCCGGAGTTGGCGCAGTTACATGACGTCAGGCGTCACCGCCGAAGCCGCCTACGTGCAGCTGCCATCCCTGCCTCTGGGAGTTGAAGTTTCCGAAGGAGGCCTCGTGAGGGTACCAAGACCACTTTAGAAGGCCTTCCTGCGCGTGCTCTCAGGTTCCCCGGACATCCCTCGGCTTGGTAAGTCCCCGGGAGCTGAGGCTTGCGCCCGCCTACCCTTCCGTTCCTTCGGCCACAAAAAGGGCGCTCAGCCAAAGCCTCCCTCGGTTAGCAACGAGAGCTTCCGGGAAAGAGGGAAGCGGGGCTGTGGGCGTGGCAGCCGGGACCCCGGTCCCGAAGGAAGTGACGTCAGGTAGCGCGCGTCCCCCGCGGTTCTCCAAGAAGCTCCCTGATTGGGTGGTTTCAACTGAGTCCCGCCTCTGGCGTGCGTCGGCCGGCGCGTGGCCTGGCGGGGCGAGGCCCCGCCCTCCGCGGTGGGTATCCTGCTGTGGACACTTCTTTGGGGGTCGGCATCCAGTCCCTAGTTTGCGAAGAGTGTGAGTGTCCAGAGAACGAAGGGAGGGAAAGCCTGCAGCCGGAAGGGCCGGGCAACTAGCTGTGGTTTTGCCCCTGGTGCCCAGAGACCGTGGGCAAGTCGCTGTACCTCGTTAACCCTCATCTCGTTTCTCCAGCGAGAGGCCGACCTGGCAGAGCTCTGCGTTATAGGGACCCTGTGCAAGTGGCTGCAGGTGCTTTTAGGCCGCATCGTGGGGAGCCCAGGGCGGTTTTAAAACCGAGGTGTTACCTGATTACACGGAAATACTATTTTAAGTGTTAGAATTCGGGCATATTTGTAAAGACAGAGGAGAGCAAGCGATGATTTTCTCACGTGTTTTTTAAATCCTCCCTCTCTCCCCATCCCGGCCCAACTCCGCCCAGGGCCTGACAGTTGACCCGAGCGCGTTTTAAAAAGGCCATTCCTTCCCTCTCCCCGCCAGGTCAGTTGATGCCATTCTGCAGCTATTTCAGCGTTTGTTGGGATCTTTCTGGAAGGGAGTCTGTCATAATTTATGAAGACTTTACTAGTATTTTAGCCCCATCAATAAAATCCATGAAAGTTTTTTTGTTTTCTTTAACTTTTCTTGGGCCATTCACTTTTGTTCCCAAATGTGTTCTTCCTGCCGAAATATGTATTAAGAAGCGGAAATAAATAATGAAACAGTTTATTATGTATTCATCCCACATCAAATGGCCTTAGTTATATTTATACGTTCTTAGCTTTATAAAACCACAACCTATTTCTGTGACTAAATTAAACATCTTTTAAAAAAATTCTATGCTAAACAGAATTTCACACAAATGTTTCTATAATTGCTACAAAACACCGTTCTGAAATATTTGCGGCACAGGGTTGGATGAATGAGCATGTACTGTGAGTGTCGCTGCATGTGAAGGAGGAATGCAAAGCTCTGCCACGGAGCTTATAAACTGGACAAAACCGAGATAGGAAAGTAGGCATACCTAGTCAACATCGCACATGTATTTTGCTTCATATGTAATCTGAACAAGCTAGTGCATAGGAACTGCTTATTGCAGGTACGGAGAGTGGGAACTGGCACGTGTCCTTGTATGTTACAGTGTGCTGTAAACAATGACACGGAGGACCGCCAGCTAACGTTTTTGTTGTCTCTAGCTTATTCAGATCTTTAGAAAAATTCACCTTCTGCAGTGCATTTTCTTAATTGGGAAGAGTGTTAGAAATGGCAATGATGTTGACCAGTGTGTGATCTTGCTATGTGTTGGACAGGGTGTTTAAAAATGTTGCTATGCAATGATGGGCCAAGTTACATTTAACGCAGACTTCTTATATGGGAAAGGCAAAAGCTCCCCCTGGTGAGCCTGAGCTGTAAAAGGTTGCTATAAAATTGCTTTTTGAAATTTTCATATTATAGAGCCAATCAACACTTGCAGTTCTTTAATATAATAGAGAACTATAGCAAAAAACTATGCCAATGGTAACAGAAATAGTCTCTCTTAAAATATTATTGTTTCATGAAGAGAGTAATTTGTTTCCTGTGAATTTTAATTGTGCTTTTAAGTTTGCATGTTTAGCTTAATGGACAGGTTTAACTTATGCTTTCTCCATCCTACATTGTTTTGGATACATGCCTTACTGACTTTAATGTAGTATCTATGGAAAGGAAGTAAAATAAAAGTGATCCTGGGGATCACAGTATTTATTTTAAAATTTTCTCCTAATGTTGTCAGACTTATAGAGTTTCCTCTGTCTCTCTGTTCTTAAATTGAATGCTTACTTTATTTTCCAGCTTTTTAAAAATTATTAATAAATGCACTCAAGGTTATACATTTATCTCTACCTTTTTGCTTCCATTTCTCATTCTATAATCCACGTCTTTTAACAGCTTTGAGATATTTCATGTATTCTTTTGTGCCTGCTTTTGTGTCCCAGTTTCCTGTTTTGTTTTTATGGTTCTTACACCTTATAGTCTCTGAAAGATTCCAACCACTTATTTTAAAGTCATTTTCATATCACCCTATTATTTCCAGTTTATATAGATTGAATTTATCTCCTGATTGTTGCTTTTGTTGTTTTTATTTTTACCTTTTCTTTTTGTAATTTTGCTTTGCAGACTAATCTTGCATGGACTTAGCATCTCCTCTCTGCAAACCAAGCGTCTGGTACTGACCTTGCGGCCGCTCCCACTCCTGGCCCCGTTCAGTGCTTCGGCCCACAGTAGACTCTGGATAGGTGACTCAGAATTCTAATCATGTGGTGTCATAAGTTCATACATCACCTCAGGGGCTTGGCCCAGAGGCTTGTTTCCGCTTCCTTCAAGTTTCCCTCAAGTCCTCAGCTTCTAAAAGCAAGTCTGATTTTACCCATTTTCAGCCTTTTTCATGAGGAAGCCCCACCTCCCACAATAGGTTAAGGGTTCATCTTAAACGGTCTCCCATCTCTCCTACCTTCTGTCTTGGGTTATAATAATTCTCCCTACTTTAAATCTAGGGAAACTTCCAATTGCCTTTGCACAGCAGACGCAACAGGAACTGTTCTAGATCTTGTTTGGTTCTTGTTTTGGCTATACCTTTTTTAGTTTTCCCTTTGTATCTTTTATTTAGAATTGTCAGGTATTTCAAGTCAGGGTGCCTCAAAAAATGAACTTTTGGCTATCTTCTCTAGGAAGTCCTAATTTTTTTATTTGGTAGCATATGAATAAAGCTGTTTTTCCTCCTTTCAGTGACACAAATCTCAGAGCCCTTCAACAGCAGGGTTGAAGCGGCATAGCTCTTTTACATTCTCTTGAAAATCCTTATTTTCTAAATAACATTTTGGATTCCTGGAAAATAGAGTTAGATCTGTGTTTGACTCAACCCTATTACTTCATTTATCTATTCATTCAGCAAGTGTTTTGAGGACCCACTTTGTGCTAAATTTGTTCTAGTTGCCTTGTTTCTTAGGAATTTATTTAGCATTGTAATTTGGGGCAAGCTATTTAACCTCAACTGTACTTTCCTTATAAAGTAGGCATAACACTTGTCTACCTCATAGGGTTGGTTTTAAGGATTAAATTAGATACTTTTTAAATTAAGCACTGTAATAATTGTTTGCTATTACTATTTTCATTATTTTAAAAAAATCCTTTGTAATAATACCATAGTCACTCATTTATTTATTTCACCAATATATAATAAACAGCTTAGTGCTAGGCACCGTGTTAGTATTGGCAATATAATGTGAGGCAAAAGTAGACATCATCCCTACCCATATGGAGTTTTCCATGTAGAATCAAAATTGAGTTGTCATATCTAGCAGGTGTGCCTGTAAACTAAGGATATGGTTTGGTTAGTAGTATAAGGACAACTTGTGAACTCTTGCTTGGATTACTAGATGATTCTTTTTCCTTTTTAGTAATTTTGTGACCTAGTAAAATACCAGGGTTTTTGCTGTAGCTCCCAAAGCACAGCTTAAAATTTCTTATCTCCCAGTCAAAATTTGGTAAACTTTCCAAGTTTGCTTAGTTATCCCTGTATGTCCTGTTATAACATTGTACTTTTAAAGAAAGCAAGAACCATATAACAAAACTACTGCTCAAATTATGTTCTGCAAAGGTTTTGTCCTTTCATTTTCTGAGTTGTGTGGATTTTTCTTTTAGATGTTACCTTCTCTGCAGACTTCTTAGCTATTTCTATAAGTAGAAGTCATAGAATTTAGAACATTTGCAAGCTTCATGCTTAGTCTTTGGTAGGGATAAATAATAAATACATTTTTAAGCTTTGGTGTTAAAAATCTGTTAAAGAGAAATCTCAGTATTTTTAGCTTTTTTCCCTAATGTGAAGGGAAGTTCAGTTCTGGGTAACAGACATAAAGATTTGGGTGGCTAAATCTAAATGAAGATGTTTGAGATGGCCCTAAGTATTCTACAGCTGATTTCAGAATCAACATAAATATTTTGTTTCTTAGCCATGACTAAAGTGGAATATTTACAATTACATATTGATAATGAAATATATGGAGGTGGGGCAACCAGATTTGTTTTCCGCACTATCCAAACTACACGGATCTATAGCATATCTTTTGTCAAAAACTAATTATGAGTGTATATCCCCAGTCCTAGTTAGGGTGTGTGCGGGAGGCAGCCAGTTGATGTGTCTCACATTGATGTTTCTCTCTCTCTTCCTCACCCCCTCCCTCCCTTTCACTCTTTAAAAATCACTGGAAAAATATCCTCAGATGATGATTAACAAAAAGTATTTTTAAGTGCTTAATATTTTTATATTATAAAACAATATATTCTCATTTTAGAAAATGCAGAATATCATGGGTAAGAATCATTTTTGTGTGTATGCTTTTTAAAACAAAATTGGATAAAATGTATATATTTCTTGTTTTGATTTTCTTATCTAACATAACCATTTTTCTTTATAACTAAATAATTTTGGGAAACATTATTTTTACTGGCCATTTAGTATTCCAAGCCCCTGTCATGGATAAGTTATAATTTATTTAATCCCTTTTGCTGACATTCAAGTAGTTTTTAATTTTTCATTGTTGAAAATAACACTGCAGTATATACAAACCACTGTTTTGATTTCCGTGGTTTCCATGACCTGTGATCAGCTAGCCTAAAAATATTAAATGGAAAACTCCAGAATTAAACAATTCATAAGTTTGAAATTGCACAGTTCTGAGTAGTGTGATGAAATCTAAGGCCATCTCGCTCCATCCCACCCGGGATGTGAATCATTCCTTTGTCCAACGTATTTGCTGTATACTCTGCCCAACCATTAGTCACTTAGCCATCTCAGTTATCAGAGAGAGCGAGAAACCATACTTACATAACTTTTATTATGCTACATCATAAAATTTTCCTATTGTTAATCTCATTATATAAAATTTAAAAATGCTAATATTTATAATATAAACATAATTATAAATTAATTTTAATATTTTTACTATGGTTATAATTATAAATTAAACTATTATATGTTTGTTTAGGAAAAAACGTATATAAAGGGTTCAGTATTATCCACTTTTTTGGGCATCTACTGGGGATCTTAGAATGTATCCACTGAAGATAAGAGGGGACTACTGCATACCCTTTTGCATTTTGTGTATATTTCTGATTCATTTACAGGAATTTATTCTAAGGAAGTAAATTACTGAGTGAAGGGTATTAGTATTTTAAAGCTCTTGAAACATAAATCTGTGTTGCCTTCTGGAAAAATTGTGCCATGAAAGCACCCCATTTCATTACATGGTCTTTGTCAATAAATAACATTTAATTGTATAAATTTTCACTTTAAAAAAAATCCTTGGGTGAGGATATGTTTATTGAATTTTAGAGAGCGAGGAAGAGATAGATAGATAGATAGATAGATAGATAGATGATAGATGAGAGAGAGAGAAGGAGAGAGAAAGAGAGAGAGAGAGAGACTGACATTGATTGGTTGCCTCCTGTACACTCTGACTGGGATAGAACCCAAAACCTAGGTGCCTACGCACGTACCTAAGTATGTGCCCTGACCGGAATGGAACCTGCAGCCTTTGGGTGTACGGGACAATGCTCAACCAACTGAGCCATCCAGCCAGGGCTAAATTTTTATTTTTATTCATTTCTGAAATGGTTTAATTTTAATCACATCTATTGGTTATTTGGTGTTTACTTTTCTCTGTGTGACTCATCTATGTCAAAGTTGCTTTTCAATTTTTCAGAGGCATCAAATAATGTCATCTGAAATGGTGCCAGCAATTATTGAGACTTCTAATGTTGAAAGAAAGCAAGACTTAAGTGAAGATCAAGAGGAAAGTCAAAAGCCAAGATTAGATGAAGAGTTTGAACCAATATCTAAACGACAAATGAAAAAGTTAATAAAACAGAAACAATGGGAAGAACAACGAGAACTCCGCAAGTATGTTTCAAAATGCATTCTCCCCTATTCAAAAATATGGAATGTTGGGCCTTTCATGGTCCTTTGACACATTAAAAGTAATTGTATTAATTAAAATTGGGACTATGCATATTGTTAGCTAACACTGTCAATTGGCTGTTAAAACTATGTTTTGAATTTCTTTATAGCAGTGTTTATGAATTTACACTGCACACTTTTTCTCACCCAAAATCTATTGTGAGTAGCAGCACAATTTCTGAAATAACCAACTCTGGAAGGGGATATAATTAGCATCCATGTCCTAGATATGGAACAAAAATAACCTCCTCAGAAAGATCAAATTTAGGCCTAACGTTGATTTTTCTAAAACTATTGCAGGTTTTGAGAACAGTAAGGTTGAAGCTGTCATTAAACAGGTGTGGGCAAAAGTAGGTTTATAGTTGTGAGTATACGGAACAGTTTATTCTTGTATTATAATTTGTTGTGTTTTTTTGTATTACAGTAGTAAACCTACTTTTTCCCACCCCTGTATAATGCCAAAAGTTACTGAGAGAAAATAAACTATAGTTGATGCAGATTAGAGAAAAAAAGTATATGAGATTTTTTTTTCACTAACAATTTTACTTTGCCTTTTTTCTATACCATATAAATGTTGCTTGAAAATCATGTAGGGGAAGAACGTTACAAGTGAAACATATCACAGCTCTCAAATTAAGTATTTGCAAAGTTTTCTTATAATATGATACCAATAATAAATGAGTTTATTAGTGGTATAGTAAGGATTTGTATAAAAAGCATTATACTGTTTTTACAAACCCATTTTCTTCCTTTCTAAAATTTTTAGATGGACTGTGTAAAATTGCTGATATCTGACCAATTTTGGTCCATAAAAGTGGCAGTTTCATATGGTTTAGCCTGCTGATTTAAAAAAGTAATGTTTCTTTGTCTATTTAGAGGAGTCTTGTATGTGAATCTATAAATTACATCAAAAAATATTTCAATACTGATTTTAGACAAAAGAGGAAGGAAAAACGCAAGAGAAAACAATTGGAGCGGCAGTGTCAACTGGAATCAAACTCAGATGGAAATGATAGAAAACGTATTCGAAGAGACGTTGTTCATAGCACACTTCGCCTTATCATTGACTGTAGTTTTGACAGTTTGATGGTATTAAAGGTATGAATCATTGTCAGAAAAACCCTGTAGGTAAACTAGGCTGAGTAATTCTTACTTTAATCTGTAATATCACTTTGATATAAATTTATGTACTAAAATGCATCTTAAATCAAGTTTTCCAAGCTCTGTGACCCCTAAATTAAACTAGCTAATAAATTCCTCTTACGTATATGTGTGTGTTGACAGGAGAGACAAACACCATGATTAGATTATAAAACTCAGTAACTGCATATTGATCATAAAAATCTGTGAATGGTTTTCTTTGTCCTAATCACAATTAAGAAAATAAGAAGTATGATTGTCTTAATAAAATTATTTCTTATTTAGTAGTTTGAGAAGCCTGGTTATTTAAACAATGCTAGTGAAGAGAAGATAATTTAATTACTTTCCAAGCCATTGATAAGTTATAAAAATAGTAATAGTATGGCTGTAAGAGAATTTCTTGAGTAAATTTTTTCATGAACTAGCATTTTATTTATTTATTTATTTTTAAAATATACTTTATTGAGTTTTTCACAGAGAGGAAGGGAGAGGGATAGAGAGTTAGAAACATCGATGAGAGAGATACATTGATCAGCTGCCTCCTGCATACCCGCTACTGGGGATGTGCCCGCAACCAAGGTACATGCCCTTGACTGGAATCAAACCTGGGACCCTTTAGTCCGCAGGCCTAGGCTCTATCCACTGAGCCAAACCGGTTAGGACATGAACTAGCATTTTAAGTAAATGCAGAATATGAAATAATGGTTCACTTGCAGAGTGTTGACTTATAGTAATTTTGTTAGTTATGTAAGGAAAGTGAATAGAAATTATCAGAAAGGACTTGTATTTCAAAAGAAAAAAAATGTACCTGTCTAGTTATTTCTTCTACTTATTCTGTTCCACTAAGATTGTGAAATGGCCATAGGTGATTTTGAAAACGATGCTTTAAAAATTGCACTTTTTTATAGGACATTAAGAAACTTCATAAGCAGATTCAACGATGTTATGCAGAAAATCGACGAGCACTGCATCCTGTGCAGGTATGTTTGAGAGATTTAAAACAGACTCCAATTTCCTTTCTTATATTTCCCTTGAGAAATGGCATAGATAATCCTGCTGGCCTTTACAAGAGTCTTACAGATAATCCTTCTTCGAGAACAAAATGCCTATTTGAAACATGTTTTCTACAAAGATAAAATATTTTGAACAGTTTTTCACATATGCGTTCTCAAACACACTGCCCAGTTATCATCAGTCTTGTCCACACTGACCTGCTCATTTCTGTGTAGTTGAACATCTTCACTGAAGGATATACACATATTTTCATACCAGTTTCTTAGCTCTCATTCCTTCTATTCCGGAGAGTAGGGGGAACTGATGTGTGCTGTGTTACCTGTTGGTAGGTTTATTCTACTTAAAAGATTCTGAGCCATTGATAATTTTGAAAAGTATTTTCTTAGCTAGAGTGAGGGAGTGCTTTGTGAGACTAGCTGCCTGCTGTGAAGAAGTGCCTGCTGTTTGAAATCTCGGTGACCTAAAATTAATACTGGCTCACTAAGGTTGAGAACTAGAAATTCTTAATAAATGTTTGTTTAGATATTTTCTTCTTATCAATGATAGTAATTTTATATTTTTACATTTTATATTCTTCCCATCCTTGCTTAGACTTGAAATAGTGTCAGGTTTTAGAATCAAAGAATTATGGAGACTTGGGACTGGTAAAAAATAACAGTGGTGGCAAAAGAAAGGGAAAGGAAACGACATGGGAGTGGGGAGTTTGTAGAAAAGTGATCATTAAGGGAAAGGCTGATTATGGATGCTTGGAAAAATGGGATGAAAATGTAGATGCCATAAGGAAGTTATTGTGGTAGAAATGATATGTTTTGTATTTTTTTATTTTGTATGTTTAAAGCATGCCACAAATTTATTTTTTTCTAGAATGAAAATATATTGTGTTTCATTGACAATCAGATTAGTGTATGAGGGAAATAAAATATTGCACTTTAATAGTCATTTGCTCTCTCTTCCCTTGCTGATGACTCTATCAGTTTTACTTGACAAGCCATGGAGGCCAGTTGAAAAAGAACATGGATGAAAATGACAAAGGATGGGTCAACTGGAAGGTAACTACAGTAGATTAACTCTCCCATAATTTCAAGTAGTTTTAAGCTTAAAGGTCTACATTTTTTACTCAAATTCTACATAATGTTAATAAATATAGGAGTCACCAGTCTCCAAACCCTGTGTCTCACTGTACCTAAGTTTAAGGGAATAAGGGAAGCTAAAAAGACTGCATGTCTGTTTGTACTTGCTCCCATTAAATCTCACTTCTATTTTGCCCCCAACTTTAAAACATATTTTTAAGAAGGAAAAATTTTAAAGGTGTTTATTCAATCTCTACCTGGCAAACTGGCGTTGCATTATTTGTAAGAGTGAAGTCACTCTAAAATTTGAAAATATACTTGCATTGTTGCTTCTAAATCTGTGCTCTCCCATGTCCACATGTGGCTATTGAATTCTTGAAATGTGACTGATCTAAATTGAGTTGTGCTATAAATGTGAAGTATATATTGGATTTCAAAGATTTAGTACCTATCCCCCCCAAAAGAATGTAAAATATCTCCTTGAAATTTTAAAAAAGATTATATGTCTAAATGATAACATTTTGTGTATATTATGTTGAATGCAATGTATTAGTAAAATTAGTTTCACTTATTTCTTTTCACTTTTTTTAACGTGGCCACAGGTAGATTTAAAATTACATATGTGGCTCACATTTTTTATAGGACAAAACCATTCTCAGTCATTTGTAAATAATAGATTGGCTTTAGTACCAATTCATGAGGAATCCTATTCAGAGAAGTACTGGGCTATTCTTGTATTTTTTTTTCTTTCTCAAAGCCAGTTTTCACCATGATAAACTTTTCCTCTTACACTCTCTAATCCCATAATGACTGCATTTATTTTATTATCTGTACTATTTTCCTGAGAAATAACGTAATCAGTTAGAGAAGGCATTCTTTCAGTTATTTTGTGGCTTGTTAAATTTATTATTTATACCACCAGCTTTCCAGAAAAACATAAGTTCATCGGTCTTTAATTTCAAGTCCCTCTTGGGGCGCTTATTAACTATAGGACCCAGATTTATAATAAAACATTTTTAGAAAGGTGATTGCTTATTAATCAGCTAGAGTCCTGGTGCACAAAATTTGTGCACTTGGGGGTTGGGGGGCCCCTCAGCCCAGCCTGTGCCCTCTTGCAGCCCAGAAGCCTTCAGATTTGAAGCGTCTGCTCCCTGGTGGTCAGTGCACATCATAGCGACTGATCGACTGGTTGACTCCCCCCTGGTGGTCAGTGCACATCATAGCGAGCGGTTGAGTGGCTTTAGCATATCATTAGTATATTACTCTTTGATTGGTTGAATGGACGACTGGACACTTAGCATATTAGGCTTTTATTATATAGGATGGGTTATACATTTTAGGTGAGACAAGTTCTGCTTCATTTTTTTATTTCCTTAAAGGTTGAATGACCTGGTTGAATGTCATCTGAATCTGATGATGTATTTTCTTTTATTCTATCAATATAATTTGCAAAATTCTGACTGCCAACTGGTGTTCAGTTTTGTACCTCTGATCTAACAGTTTTGATGAAGATGATTTTATTTGTGTATCATTGTAGAAATGGATTCATGGACTTTATTAAATCTACAAGCACTTTCTTTTGATGATTTGTGTAGACAGAGAAGAAATAATTGGAGAAAACCAGGAAATAATGTGAGCAAATATGTGACAGAATGCTTTTGTTTTGTTGGAGCAGAGATAAACTTAGAAAGGGTAGGTTAGTGCCACATTCAGGAAAGAGTTACTAAGTTAAAGAATTTCAGTTTTATCCTACAGATGAAAATAAAACATGAGAAGTAGTGTTTTTAGAAAATGAGGCTACCATTACTGTGTGGAAGTAAATTGGAGGGATCTGAGGCTAACGACAGGGAAATAGCATCAGGAAGCCACTTAAATAATTGATGTGTGAGATGACAAGGAATTTAAGTAGTAGGTTATAAATAATGCATTGCAGCATTCTTTCAGACTTCTTTTCATATGATTTACTTCCTTTCAAATTGATTATTAGCCAATTTTCACAAAATCCTATTAATTAATCACATCTGTCCTCATGTGTCTTAAAGGATATCCACATTAAACCAGAACACTATATTGAATTCATAAAGAAAGAAGATCTGATTTATCTTACATCAGATTCACCTAATGTACTGAAGGAATTAGATGAATCAAAGGCTTACGTGATTGGAGGATTAGTAGATCACAACCATCAAAAGGTACTTAGTTTTTATTTTTGCTTTTGCTTGTACTTAAAATTGATATATCAATTTTCTTAATAACAATATACTTTTTGATAGTAGCAATAATACTGATGATGGCTGATCTCTACTGAGTGCCAGCTATATTTCAATCACCTTTTTGGCTAAGCAAAACATTTCACATAAAAGATTGGGCAAATGTAGGTATATAGTTGTTCATATGGAAAATAATACACTAATTAATATATAATAATATAAGAATAAACTCTGTGTCTCACATACTCACAACTATAAACCTACTTTTGCCCCCCCGTACATTACTATGGTTAATCCTCACTTATAAACCAGTGAGGTCAGTGCTGATATTTTCTGCATTTTAAAGCTGAGGAAATGGAAGCCTAAAGAAAATAAGTCTAAAATCAATAGTAGTAGGTAGTAAAGCAGATATTTGAAACCTGATAAATTGTTCTGGAGCCCAGATGCTTAAACAATATGCTGTATTGATAGAAGATGCTGCTATTAATCAATTTTTAGGCCACTGATAAAATTTATAACGAAACTGATCATTTTTATTTTAAATATGTGATTTTCATGGGATGTGTTTTCTGTTCTCTTATATTTCTACATTTGTCTCTTTCCACCTCCTCATCCTTATTTGAATGAAAAATTACAGAAGTACACTTTCTAAGAAAAAATATCATTTTGTACTTTGCCAGCTACTTAACAACATGCTAAATTCAACCCAACTAAAGAAAAAGCATGTTTACTAAGTGTCTGAGGAAATATTGTCATCAGAATAATACAAATTCAGTATTCTTATGTTGCACCACTGTGCCATAGAACTTTTTCTAATGTTGGAAATACTTACATCATTCTGTCCAGTGTGGTAGTCCTGTGGCTATTGAACACATGAAATGTGTATAGTATAATTGAGAACAGAATATTTTAAAATTGTAACAAATTAAACTTAAATAGTCACTTGTGGCTCTTATTGGACAGTGCATCTCTATAGCATCAGAGGGAATTTTATCAGAATGACGTTTAGCCTTTTTATTGTTTTCTTAGTGGAAATATTCTTTTTTGTTACTTATACAAAACCAGATTTTTATCTTTCATGTTGTATGTGTTTTTGAACTAAAACAATTTTGTTTTCAAAAGCATCTGCCTCAATCATTATTATTTGTCCCTAAAATATGCAAACTACTGGTTGAGAAATTTAGTTCTTCCTTCTCTGTACTATCTTTTGACTATTTCAGTTTTGGTTAGACCTAGGCTTTAAGGATTTTAATTTTGAGAAGAAAGAAAATTCATATTCAATATTCTTTTAATTGACAGAAGGGAAAAATTAAATTTATAGGCAATTAAAACATTTTTTAATTCAGCTTTTTATAGAATTTGTTTTGGTTATTTGTGCCTCCTAGTGTTATGTAATTGAAACATAATTTTATCTGTATGTCTTTTGTATTCATGGAAAGTGATGGTGCTTCTCTAGGAGTTCTGATTGAGTATTTTAAACTCTAAGAGAAAGGTGGTGTGGAATGGTTAAAAGGTATTTGAATCAGGAGGCATAAGGCAAGTTTTTCCTATGGTTCTGCCACTTAGGAATTTTGTGGCAGAACAGAACATGTCTTTGGTTTCCTCACTTGTAAATTGGTTAAAACAAAAGGCCTAAACATTCCGACTATCCTTATTGTCAAGAGAATATTTCCAAATTAGCAGTCAAACACAGACACACACAAACACACTCACGTCAGATAATGTACTCTGAACTAAAGTCTTTCTTAAAAATTATTTGTTGTAGACTTCAAAGTAATTTAATGTTCTAGTCCAAGTTATAGTGTCTTTGTTTTAGGGACTCACATATAAACAAGCATCAGATCATGGAATTGATCATGCACAGCTACCCCTTGGAAATTTTGTGAAGATGAATAGTAGAAAAGTTTTGGCAATTAATCATGGTAAGCTATAAGGAGATAAAGTGAAAATGTACCTGAGTGAACATTGTGAAAATATAAAATACACACCTTGCTAGAAACAAAATTATAAAATGTAATGATTTATAATTTTGAATATAGAAACAATACATGCATATTTTATAAAATTTTGAAAATACAGAAAAACATAAAAATAAATAACCTATAATTCACTACCCAGAGATACTTGGTATTAACTTTTTGGTGTGTTTCCTTCCAGTTCCTTCCCTATGCATATGTAGTGCTATTTATAACATAATTGGATTCTTAACTCCATTACATAAAATAATATAAAACTGGGTGTTTTCCCTCATTTATAATTATACTAGAGGCCCGGAGTGTGTGTGTGTGTGTGTGTGTGTGTGTGTGTGTGTCCCTCAGCCCAGTCTGCAACCTCTCCAATCTGGGATCCCCCTCAAAATCCAGGACTGCTGGCTCCTAAGTGCTTGCCTGCCTGCCTGCCTGATTGCCCCTAATTGCTTCTGCCTGCCAGCCTGATCGACGCCTAACTGCTCCCCTGTGGCCCGATTGCCCCTAACTGCCCTCCCCTGCCATCCTGGTCACCCATAACTGTCCTCCCCTGCAGGCCTGGTCTCCCCTAACTGTCCTCCCCTGCCGGCCTTGTTGCCCCAAACTGTCCTTCCCTGCCAGCCTGGTCCCCCCCCCACCAACAGCCCTCCCCTGCTGGCCTGGTCCCCCCCAACTGCCCTCCCCTGAAGGCTTGGGTCCCCCCCAACTGTCCTTCCCTGCCAGCCTGATCACCCACAACTGCCCTCCCCTGACGGCCATCTTGTGTGTTGGAGTGATGGTACGTTTGAATATTAGCTCTTTATTAGATAAGGTTTTTCATATCATTGAATTATTGTTAATGGCTATATAATATTCATCATCTGAATATATAATAATTAACCATTCTTTTTGGTGTGTTTCCTTCCAGTTTCTTCCCTATGTATATATATAACTATTTGTAACATTCTTCTGTTGATGATTTTTTTGGTTACTATTGTAAATAACATTATAAAGGACATTCTTAGACATTTGTCTGGAGTTTTTAGTGGAGATTTTTGTTGATGCACAACTGTTTATTGGGCTCTTTTTATGTGCTAAGAACTGTATGGTAGACTATAGGGAGTTATATAAATGAATTTACTGATTCCAGGACTGAGCTTCTAAGACTTTTGATAGATTGTGGAAATTACTTTGCCATGAAGTAATCCAAATTGACCCTTCAACAATGTATTCATGTGAGAGTAATTTGGAGACAGTATTAAATTTTAACTCTAAATATGAAACAAAAAGCAGGCAAGATGTTCCCTAGAGTAAGTGGCGCTGTATATGAAAAATAGAAGAAATTTAGATTAATCCTAACCTATTTTTTCTAGTTTTATGTTAGAACATAAAGGATAAAGAAGTGAAAGGGATAAAGAATAGGAAGGAAGCAAAAAGATTCTCTGTGTATTAATTATTACTGACAAGGAATAATGGTAAACTTCTAAGTGCTTAAGAATGGAATTGAGAAAAAGCTAAAGAACAGGCTTGAGAGCTTTGGGGCAAATTGATTCTGAGAGCCAATAGGGAAACAAGGTGATAAGAATAAAGTAGAAATTATTAGGACATAGTATCAATGCATTTTAAAATATAGTATGCAACATTGTGATGAACTTGGCTAAGAAATGTATAGAGTTTGTCTTTGTTTCAGTGTTTGAGATTATTCTGGAATACCTGGAAACAAGAGACTGGCAAGAAGCATTTTTTACTGTCTTACCTCAAAGGAAAGGAGCTGTTCCCACAGACAAAACCTGTGAAAGTTCTTTGCGTGACAAGACGTCTGCTAGGGTTGAAGATGGATTGGACAGTGATTCCAGTGAGGAAGAAACTAGCAGAAATGAACTAGATTCACCACATGAAGAAGAAAAGCAGGATAAAGAAAATAGCACTGAATCTACAGTGCACTCTACACCATAGGAATGTCATCTGGGTGTTTTTGTGTGTGTGCATTTTTTTTTTTCTGGCTAAGGAAAAACTAGGAGAAAATGAGGTGCTTCATAGAATATTCCAATTGGAAGAAAATTTTATTTTTTGTTATTTCTGTTGTGAATATTATAGAGTGGATAAACTTATAGAGTGGATACAAAGTCCTTGTAAGAAAGTACTTTTTGTTTTTGCGTAAGATTTTAAAAAGATATAATTTTTAAAAATAGCTTTCTAAGCCTCAAATAAATTTTTTTGAGGATTTTACTTTAATAATAAATCTTCATTCTGTTATTTACTGGGTTGTATTATTCAGAATGTGCCTTCTGATCCTTTAGTTTTATTATTTTACGTTTATATCAATATCTTTCTGATTTATGCCTATTTGTGGAAGCAGATATTCACAAATTTCCTGTAAGTGCGCCATTTTCAGTATGGGAAATGTATTTGCAACTTTTATATTCAATTTAATAACTTCAAGGGAATATTGTGATTTTAGGAAAAAGTATCCAATCGATATACTCTACAATTTATTTCTTTTGTACTATGGACTTGTCTCTATTTCTGCCTCTTGGTGGTTCTAATGTAATCCCTGAAGAATTAATCTAATATATTTTTATTTTATTTTTAATATATTTTTTAATTCAAACAATTGTGGTAAATTATTTCAATTACAAACTTAATTTTTCAGGCTAGTCTATATTAAAAGGCCATTGAAGGATCAATTTTATCTTAAAAAGAAATAGCTCTCAGCAGCTATCTTTTCGTTCCATATAAACTTTTTAAAGTTTTTTTGAAAATCAGTTGATTTTTAAAGTAAATAAATTTATATATGCATCTGCCTACTATCATAAGCAAGCTAATGTAAATATATATTTCTGTAACTAATGTAAGCATGTATGAAAATATTCATATGCTGTATGTACATGTTTGTCCACATCATGTATGATTCTTATTTAACGATAAACAGGATTGAGTTGCCATATATGTGTATTTGTGTGAATGGTTGTGTTCAACAATACTAAGGAATTTGAATTTCCTGAAGTGCAAAATCTATAACTAAACATTTGTATAAGGACATTGGCAAGGGAATAAGGGGCTAAATGAGATGTTTTAGTTTCCTACCAGGAACTGTAGAGTAGTTATCTTTAAAGTAAAGAGATTCTTCCTTGTCACAGCTATAGTAAGATTTCAGAAGCCTTCCTTCATGATAAATGAAGTTTCTGTTCTTTTTACTCGCCGGCATCTTAAATTATATACACACTAGAGGCCCGGTGCACAAAAATTTGTGCACTTGGGGAGGTGGGGGATCCCTCAGCCTGGCCTGTGCCCTCTTGCAATCTGGGACCCCGAGGGGGATGTCCACCTGCTGGCTTAGGCCTGCTCCCTGGGGGGATTGAGCCTAAGCTGGCAGTCAGACATCCCTCTGGCAGCCCGGGAGCCCTCGGAGGATGTCCACTTGCCAGCGGGGAGCAGGCCTCAGCTGCAGTCGGACATCCTTAGCGCTGCTGAGGAAGCGGGAAAGGCTCCCGCCATCACTGCTGTACTGGAAGCCATTAGCCTGGCTTGTGGCTGGGCAGAGCTCCCTCTGTGGGAGCACACTGACCACCAGAGGGCAGCTCCTGCATTGAACGTCTGCCCCCTGGTAGTCAGTGTGTGTCATAGTGACCAGTCATTCCCAGACTTTCTGCTGTTAGGGTCAGTTTGCATATTACCCTTTTATTATATAGGATAGAGGCCTGGTGCACGGGTATCTAAGGGAAAAGAGGTCAGCACCCCTGAATAAATAGTTTATTTATCTTCTATAATTAAAACTTTGTAGCCTTGAGCTGAGCTGAGGGCCAGCCAGGGCAGGCAGGAAACTTGGCTTCCTCCATTGCAGGGGGCAACCCAAGCCTCCTGCTCTCTACAGCTTCGTGGCTGCTGCCATCTAAGTTGGGTTAATTTGCTTACTCACTCCTGATTGGCTGGTGGGTGTGGCTTGTGGGCATGGTTTGAGCATAGGAGGGATGGTTAATTTGCATGTTTCTCTTTTATTATATAGGATTTGGTAGAAAGTTTATTGGTTTTAGTATAGATATTCTCTGTCTCTTGGTTTTGTTGCTTTCTTCTTAGTAATCTATACTAATAAAAGGGTAATATGCTAATTAGACTGGATGTCCTTATGGACAAAGCCATGGTGGTGGGTGCCAAGGCAGAGGCAGTTAGGGGTGATCAGGCCGGCAAGGGAGAGCAGTTAGGGGGATCAGGCCAATAGGGGAGTGCAGTTAGGTGGATCAGGTTGGCAGGGGGGGGGCAGTTAGGGGGATCAGGCTGGCAGGAGAGAACAGGCAGTTAGGGGGATCAGGTCAGCAGGGGAGAGCAGTTAGGACCATCAGGCCAGCAGGGGAGCAGTTAGGGGCATCAGGCAGGCATGCAGGTCAGCAGTTAGGAGCCAGTGGTTCCAGATTGCTAGAGGGATCCCAGATTGAAGAGGGGGCACTGTG